TTCCTAGGTACATTCCTCTATCATATCATCAACAATCATCGTCCTTCTTACACCTACAACCTTCTCACAGATCTGCCTCGTTCCGAAACTCCTTTATTGCTCGCTCTGTTAATTTTTGGAATTCCCTTCCTATCAAAATTCGTCATTCTTCATTCCTATCTACATTCAAAACCCTCCTATTCCAATTCTTGTCCCTTTCTTTATTTATTCTTTATTTTTTCTAAAAGTGTATATTTATATTTTACCATTGTACATAGTTTTAAGTGTGTCTTGGCAAGGTTTCAAGAGTTTTGTATATAGATTTTTTTATTTTATTTTGTATATAGTATGTATAACTAATATTTTCTTTACTGATTTATCTTTATCTTTACTTTTTATGTTTGTTTTTATTTAGCCAGATATAACATTTTAATTTTGTACTTTTTTGTTATTCTGAAGGGACTTCGTCCCAGAATAAAATTATTTTCTATTCTATATATGACCTGGGAGAGACATATTGGTCTGTAGTTAGCACACTCACTTGTGCTTTCCTTCTTGTGGATGGGTATAACAATATTATATTCCCATTCTTTTGGAAAAGGTTCTACAGTACCTTAACAATCTCCCTTCCGCCGTACTTAATTAATTCTGGAGAAATGCTGCTTTCCCAAGCTTGAGTCTCTCTGTGGCTGTTTCAACTTCTTCTTCCCATATTATATCTGAATCCTGGTCTTGATCATTATCTTTTTCACCTGGATTGAGAATCGTTTGTTCAGAGCTTGTTGTTTGCTCTGCAAATGTCGCGCCATATTTCCTTTCTCATCTTACTAGAATTCCAGCGGTTTCAGTTACTGTGTCTCCATTTTCATTTCTTATACTTTTACCTCGTTTTCCTCTAAGACCTTTAACTTTCTCCAAAACTTTTTAATAGTATCTCTATAATCCTGATCTAGTTCCTTTCCAAATTGTTCCTAAGAATTTATCTTAGATTCCCTAGCAACGTGCTTTGAGATATTCCTCTTATGAACATAGATACACCAGCTTTGCTGAGACTTATTTGCCATATATTCTTTCCAGGCTTTCTTTTTGTTTGCCACATTTAAATTCTTCACTCTACATACCAATCAGTTCTTTTTGCCGTAATGTTAATTTTCTTGTTAGTACATATCTCTGTCCACATTTCGTCTATATTCTTTTCCAGATCTATCGATAAGAGTCGATGATCTAAGAAGTCTGCATATAAGGTTCTTTTCTTGGGATCCCACAATACTCCAGTATCAATTCTTTCATATGCTTTGGGTTTCCTCTTGATCGGTTTAACAATCCAGGTATTTGCAACGAGAAGCAAGTGTTTTGTGCTGAGCTCTGCACCTCTGATTTCTTTTAGGTCAGTAAAATAGCATCTTATATTCTTACTGTAAATGAAATGATCAATGATGCTGTTTGTTTGCTGTCGTATTGTTTGATATAGGTAACAAAATTACTATCCAAATACACACATTTTATTGTATAAATAATAGTATAATTGGGAGTAACATTTTTTAATAATTTAATTTAATGTAAGTGAATATAGTCACTTATAAATCTCCTTATCCTCGTAGTTCCATTATTCACGGTTCCAAAAGGTTTATTTTCCAGTTTTCAAACAAACAAGTATGAAAGTATTTATAATATATGAAAGCAAGCTCTGGAAGTAGCAGCAGCATGTATGGGACTCCTAATAAACTCTGATAAAACTAAGTAATGTTTGTAAACCCAAAGCCTGATATCTGCCAAGCCTTTATTCAGTTGGCTTCACACAGGATAGAAATTGTACGAGGATTTGTTTAATTAGGGCCCCCAAATGAACTGCCGGAATGACATTGTAACCCAGTAACCTTGTTATTAAAAAGAGGGTCAAAAGGTACTATTTCGCTGGCGCGGTCCACGACCGCGACTGCTCGCGGTTGACCACTGCTTTAGTGGAATAGAAAGGAACCTATTTCGCTGGCGCTGCTCTGCAGTCTAGGTATGACGTCATATCTAAGCTGCTCGTATCTGACTCCTCTTGAAGCAGTGGAGCTGTTGGCGGTTCGCGGTTGTAGGTTATGTTATCATATCAGAGCATTGTTTTGATGATAACAGTCACGTCGATACTTTTATTTCCTATGTTTCTTTCAAGTCTGGCAAAATTATAACAAATATTGTTTAAAACTGAAACAATGCAATAGTAAATTATTTTTTTAATGTTGAAGTAACAAGATTATTTATTTATTTATTCCACCAGCAATATTTTACAGCGAAATACAAATATACCTAAATCCAAAAGATATTATAAATTAAAGAATCCAACAAATTTTATAATCAGGTAAATACTAAAATCCACCCATTGAAAAATCGATTTGTATTTTTTAATTAAAGTGGTGATTTACTGATTACTATTGATAAAACTATAAAACATCGCCTGCTGGGATTTAATTACAAATATATGATATTTATTACTAATCAATTATGTATTAATTACTATTACTTTTCAAACTAATAATATCTAATATCAGAGGGACTATTGTTGTTAGTACGGCGTTTCCGCCTTTTTGTTCTTTTTTAGTTGTTCATCTAGACAATAGCAAACAATGTCCAAGAAGGGATTTGATGATGAGCATCTCATCGAAATACTGATATTCCTTCTCTTTATGAACAACATTTTCTCTTCTTTTTCCTCCTCAAATAAAAAAGCGGTAGTCAGAGATGTTCATTATTATTCATTTTATTATTATAGGATGTCCATCTTTTTATCTTCAAAGATAAAGCGAAATGTTCGAAGGTTATAGGCAGGTTATAACAACCCCAGTGAGCAGTTTCAGCGAAATAGCTACACCAACAGCGGTTAGCAGCGTGGGATAGTGGTCGCTGTCGTGGACCGCGCCAGCGAAATAGTACCTTAAGTTGCATCGAATGGGGGTAGGTTTCATTTTTGTTCTTGTATGGGATGTGACTGAGATGCAAATTCCAAGTTTTTGACCTCGGCTCACTTTTGAAAATCCCAAAAACTGCTTTATTTTTGCACTTTTTTCGTTTTTTCCCCATTTTGACTATGAAGGAGCACATTTTCGACAAAAAACATCCTATACATTTTTTAACTTGATTAACATGTTAGCTGCTGAGCATGATATCTCTTAAATGTATTTTCCGATGATATCGGTCCCCGGTGACTGACACTAGTTTGAAATTCCTAATGGCATGGGACGCCGGAAACATGGCATCAGTTTCGAGGTATACCGCTATTTTTTGACAACAAGGGTGAACTAAATTTCCTATTCAGAGTCTCTATCTGTTGATTGAGGCCAGTAATTGTAAGAGTGGACTCCGACGTCCGATGCCGTTTATATGACAGATTTTTTATTATTTCTCTTTATTTCAGTAAATAAGTGTTATTTTCAGGGATATAAATCTTAAATATTGTAAAGGAAATGAGAAAAAGTTTCTTTATTACATATAATTACAATTTTCAAGATATTATTTATTTGTATGTTATTTATTATTTCTTTATTTATACATGTTAAATAAGCAGAGGAACAGTCTAAGATGAACTCTTAAAGAGCTACTGCGTGACAGAAGCCCGACGAAGACAAGACCATGCATGTGCACTGTTCTGCTACAGCAGGAATATGTTTCGGACGCTGGGGGGGGGGGGGAGGGTGATACCGTAGGGAAATAATTTTTTATCAGTCTGGTACAGTATCGGTCCCCGGTGTCCAAAACTTTTTATCAGATATAATGATTATTTATGCTCGTATTTTTACATCTATCCAACTCCCATTCGAATATTTTTAAATATTACCATTTTAGAGATGTCACTCCTCCTTCAAAATATTAAAATGAATTAATATTTACTTCACTGACTTATATCAGACGGGTCATTGAAGATAAAAGACAATTGCATACGATCAATCATGAAAAATAATTTAAATGGAAAATAAAATTTTCCCAATTTTAAAAATCTGTATCTCGTAAACTGTTTGATTTATCCAGCCTGTTCAGGTCTTAAATTGTAGCATATTTAATCTAGTTTAAAAATGTATAGGATGTTTTTTGTCAAAAACGTACTCCTTCATAGTCAAAATGGGAAAAAAGTGTGAAAATATAGCAGTTTTTGAAATTTTCAAAAGTGATCCGGAGGGGGCGCCAAGTTCAAAAACTTGGATTTTGTATCTCAGTCACATCTCATACAAGAAAAAAAAATTAACCTTCTATATCCCCATTTGATGCAACTTATTTATGTATTCGATTTACAAGGTTACTGGGCTATTCAGGAAGAGATAGAGAGATGTATTCTGGTTGCTAATCGGTGTTCCTTTGCAATTCAAAAGCAACCTGTCAAAATCCTCAAAGGTCAGAATATATAAAACTTTGATTCGACTTGTTTTAACATATGGCTGAAAAACCTGGTCACTCAGGAACTCGAACTGTCCAGGTTTGAATGAAAGATCCTGAGGAGAATTTATGTGGCTGGATATGTTAATGGAGACAGAAGAAGGACAAACCTGGAGCTGAGAAATGTGTACAAAGATTTAGAGTTGGTCGATGTTGTTAAATTCCCTCGATTGTGATGGATAGACCACATCGTTAGGATGAATCCATAGGAAATTCCATCTTAAGTCCTATCAGAGAAACTATCTGAAGCAGGAAAGGTTGGAAGTCCTAGGCTCCAATGGGAAGACAGTTCAAAACAGAAATGATGTGGTCAATGCTGGGGCAAAGACGCAATGTGTGGGTCATAGAGCCATTTAATAATAATTAAAACAAATAAAATAAGCATCAAATAGAAATATCCCTGTTCATTTCTGTGCAGTGTTAAAGAAAATTTGGACCCTAATGAGTTCAAAATAGAATCTAACTATTTAAACTAGAATTTTTGGGTGAAAATAGGCTTGATTAGGTAACTATTCCAGTATGATCAAATGAATATTGATGTTATTTATATGTAATTATATATTGTTATTTATTCTAATTTAGTTAATGAAGGATTGTTTGTTTTTCAGAAGATTGCAGAAACCTTTATCAGTGGTGATTCAGATGTTGAAGAATTCTTAGAAAGTTTTGTATCCAAGCGAAAATCAATGCATTTAAATAAAGTTAAATCTGAGAAACTGTCCGAAATGATACAACATCGAATTTGCTTGGAATCAAAGACTGTCAATGGAGGGTGGAATCATGTTAATCAAATAAACTCTATTGGGACCAATGGATTAATATTGAATAATATGTAATATTTTATGTAAAGTTACAAACACCATTTTTAATGTATTATTATTGACTTATTATTATTATATGTATGTTATAGCTGTGGTTTTATATATTTTTTGGTCCATAGATCTTCCTTTTAGTTTCCATATAGGGTCAATCCATTTGAAATCACCCAATTTGAATTAATTTTGCTGTTCGAAATTTTTGATTTTTATAATCCAGTTATTCCATATTTATTTGAGAGTTCAAAAACATAGTTAAACAAAAATTGAGGCTCATAGTTTTTTCTCGGAGGCCATTTTTAATTTTCTTTTCGACTGAAAACATGTTTTGGGGAAATGCCTGTAACTCTAGCTATTTTGTAGATATCAAGCCAAAATAAAGATTGAAATAATCTAGAGTATTTTATTTACATTTCTTTTGTTGATCAATACATTACCTATAAAGAAAGAAAAGTGGTTAAAAAAAAAACATGAAAATAGACAAAAAAAGTGTAATAAAGAAAAGTCTCAACTTTAATTTTTTCTTTATATGTAGTCCTACTACTGTACTTCTTGCTGATGAATTTTCAATCTTGAAAACCTTGTCCTTTTTTAAATATGAATTTTAAAAAACTTACTCAAAAGTCGTTTTCGCCGATTTTGTATGTCATATATCACAAAAGGGACTGAGTGAAAACATATGAAATTGATACTGTTTATACCTCTTAATGATAGAAATGTGCGATACGAATTTGATCATTGAGACTCAACTGGTTCTATTAGTTATAGCGCCACAAATATGGCTGCCTTGTGTGAGTCTGTATCAGCTATCTTACATACTATAACTGCGCCATTTTTTCAGATATCAAAACAAAACAAACACTAAAATTATTGTGGTGTTTTACTCTAAATTTTTTGTTCTCACAATATAAGTAGTGAAGAAAGTTGTTAAAAAAATTGACAACTATAAAATTAAAATTAACATAAAATGAGACATTTAGAGCAGCAATACTGTAATAATGAAGAGTCTCAACTTTAATTTCTTTTTCATATGTATTAAAGGGGTTGAGTGGAAAATGATGAAACTTGTACATTTTGTAACACTTGATAATAATAAGGACATGTGGAACAAATTTGGTTGAGAATCAATCGGCTCCAGAGTTATATCGCATCAAATATGCATGGAAATTGCATTATTTACACAATATATCAATAGTAGTAAGCGATAATAGCAGTAAATAGTTTTTATTATGCAATAAAGAATTTAATGACAAATCAACTTTGAATAGAAACATCTTCAGATTAGAATTAAACATCAATACACATATTAATGATTTTTAAAACAGTGTTTCCCCCAATCACAAATACAGTTGTTAATGTGACAGTTTACTGTTAAGGCGCACACTTACATATATCAGTTGATGTGATAGTAGCTGTCACTGCAGCGAAAACTCAAGTCCCTACTATAGAATTTGTAGGTCTCAATAAAACAATGTCTCAATTTCATATGGTAGGATGCTCATTTATCGTTTAAATAACACAATTCCCAGACATATTTGGTACGATATAATTCTGGAGCTGATTGAGTCTCAGTCACAAAATTTGTTCCATATATCGTTATTATAAAGTTTTATAAAATATAAAAGTTTCATCATTTTCCAGTGTCCCTTTTATGATATTCAAATTTAAATCTCGCCAAAAATGACCTTCGACCGTTTTAGAAAATTCATATCTAAAAAGGTACACGGTTGTGAAGATTTAAATTTCATCAGGAAGTAGCACATTGATAGCACTGCATATGAAAAAGAAACTTGAGACTCTTCATTATTACAGTATTGCTGCTCTAAATGTCTCATTTTATGTTAATTTTAATTTTATAGTTGTCAATTTTTTTAAAAACTTTCTTCACTACTTATATTGTGAGAACAAAAAATTTAGAGTAAAACACCACAATAATTTTAGTGTTTGTTTTGTTTTGATATCTGAAAAAATGGCGCAGTTATAGTATGTAAGATAGCTGATACAGACTCACACAAGGCAGCCATATTTGTGGCGCTATAACTAATAGAACCAGTTGAGTCTCAATGATCAAATTCGTATCGCACATTTCTATCATTAAGAGGTATAAACAGTATCAATTTCATATGTTTTCACTCAGTCCCTTTTGTGATATATGACATACAAAATCGGCGAAAACGGCTTTTGAGTAAGTTTTTTAAAATTCATATTTAAAAAAGGACAAGGTTTTTAAGATTGAAAATTCATCAGCAAGAAGTACAGTAGTAGGACTACATATAAAGAAAAAATTAAAGTTGAGACTTTTCTTTATTACACTTTTTTTGTCTATTTTTATGTTTTTTTTTTAACCACTTTCCTTTCTTTATAGGTAATGTATTGATCAACAAAAGAAATGTAAATAAATACTCTAGATTATTTCTAGAGTTGTTTCTAGTATTTATAAATACTTTAGATTATTTTTATCTTTATTTTGGCTTGATATCTACAAAATAGCTAGAGTTACAGGCATTTCCCCAAAACATGTTTTCAGTCGAAAAGAAAATTAAAAATGGCCTCCGAGAAAAAACTATGAGCCTCAATTTTTGTTTAACTATGTTTTTGAACTCTCAAATAAATATGGAATAACTGGATTATAAAAATCAAAAATTTCGAGCAACGCTGTCTGGGTGATTTCTAATGGATTGACCCTGTATCTATCAACAATTATGTTTGTGTAATATGGATTGTTCCAAAAAAAAAAAAAAGAGCAGATACCCAATAATTAGTCTAAAAGCAAGATGTTGCTCTAGATATTATATACCTAGATTTATTATAACATGAATTAGAAACTGACAATGGAGCACATTAGTTTAAAGCCATGTATCCACAAGATCATTGGGATTGTGGTTCTGAAGATGGGAGTAGATATTCCGAAACGTAAACTTGTAAACATGCAATTTTGATAATACAACAAATGAATTCAATTGTTATTGGAAGTAATCATTGCCAAATAACAAAAAAAAAACAGATGTTTTTGAAAGTAATTGAATAACCAGGAAATATATATATCCGAGCGAGCTCTGTCTGAAAGACAAGTTGACATTGGCACGATCCTGGCTGTTAAGAGTCTCTATTGAAAGACCAGAAATATTATAAGGACTGGCAACCACACATCCAAGGAGTTTGAAACGACGCAGGGAATACGGCAGGGGTGCAGCCTAAGTCCCCTACATTTTATACTGGTGTTGGATCAAGCATTGAGGAGAGCTCAACCCAGACTGCGCCATTTTCGACTGGGATATAGGAGTCTACAGCCTACTTTGTACAGAGTCCTCGCTTTTGCCGATGACCTCGTTATATTCGCTGCGGATGACCGGGACCTACAATATAACATAAATATCATGCAAGAAGAGTTGTCTAGCATTAACATCGATATTAATCCACAGAAGACAAAATGCATGAGAATAGGTAGACGTCCCCGCCGAGTTATGAGAATATTGAGGTTGAAAGGACAGATCCTGGAACAGGTGCAGGATTTCAAATATCTGGGTGCAAGCATAAGCAAAAGTGGCTATATCGATGGAGAGGTGTCACAAAGGCTGGGAGCAGCTGGAAGAATGTTCCACTCAATCCAGAAAGGTTTCCTCAACAAAAGAGAAGTGACAGAAAACAAAGATATCCGTCTACAAGTCAACATTCCTGCCCATCCTCTCTTACTCCTCCGAATCATGGACTCTTACCTCAAAACACAAGGGGCAGATCCAGACATCGTGCAGTGCCATAATTGTCAGACCTACGGCCACACGAAGACATATTGTCACCATCTGCCGCATTGCGTGAAGTGCAGCGAACAGCACAAATCTGTAGAGTGCACCAAACCTATACAAGAACCTGCAGTATGTGCCCCATTCTTGGAGGGACACCTGGCCAACTACAAAGGCTGCCAAATTTACAAGAATCTCAAAACCAGACACCAGAAAAATCGGATTCAAGATGAAGCACTAAGACCAAGAAGAGAGAGAGAGAGAGCCTTCTAGAATTGTAAACAATGATGTATCATTCTCCCAACTACTTAGAGGTAAGAATTCAACTGATAAATATCAAGCCCTGCCTCAACAACAACTTAAAAATCCTCTTCATCCTAATATACCTAACCATCAACAACAAATTCCTCCTCCTTCAAATGCAACAGATCTCACCAGTCTGTTAGCATCTTTCCTCACCGATTTCAAATCCCTTGTTACTCCACTCATATCACTCCTCACAAATCTCGTATCTTACCTCATCCCTCCTTTAAAAAATCCTTAAATGACTCACATCCCAAAACCTTTTTCTCATCTCTACTCACATCTCTCATCACGTACTCCCAACACCAACCCAGGATTTCCTACAATCCACTGCTATCATAATCAAAACCTCCTATCACCGTTGCATCAGCATATTGCCCTCCTAATCAATCCATCTCCAATGCCCAATTTAGTTCCCTCCTCAATTCCTTAGGACATCATTTCATCCTGGGTGCAGACTTAAACTCAAAGCATCAACAGTGGGGTTCAAGAACCACGAACTCTCATGATAGAACATTGCTGTCTGTACTCTCAATTCCCAACGTTTTTGCCTCCTTCCTCCTAAATCACCTACCTACTGGTCCACTGATCCTAACCGCAATCCTGATATCCTTGATTTCTTCATCCACAGTGGTCATTCCTTTACCACCATGATTCAACAAGCAGTCTGGGCTGCTTCCTCCTCTAATCACTCTCCAAAAACCTTTAAGAAAAATAACTTACCTCAACATCTCCTCGACCTAATCCGTACCAAACGCAGTTCCAGATCATTATGGCAACGCACTAGACATCCAGCTGATCGCCGTTCCTATAATTATTACTGTAAGCGACTGAAGCAGGAATTATCCTACTTCAGATCCCAATCCTTTAACTCCTACCTTACCTCTCTCTCCCTTCGCTCACGACAATTCTCTTTGGAATATCACCAAAAAAGTCCTAAAATCCCACGATGTTTACCATCCCCTCCGTCGAAGTGATGGGCGGCGTCAGATAAAGACAAAGCTGAGGAATTCACTAAACACCTCTCCTGCACATTTACTCCTCATCTGGAAT